TAGCCGAAACATGTTGTGTAAGTTCCATATGTAAATCGAGTACTCGATAGGGAACATAATATGATATTTTAATCTTTTAATCTTTTAATTTTATTGTGATTGACGGTTATTTTTAAATATTAAATATTTTAATACTATTAATTCACAATATGACGCATCTACAATACCTTATAAATAATATTTATGTTCCGGTCATAATAATATAACTGTTAATATTCACTATGACCCTGATCCTCATGATAACATGTTTATATCCACGGGTAAGTTTGGAAAATTGTGTTACGTCTTAAATATCACTATAAATGTACAGAGTTTCTTTCACATTCGAAATGCGAACCACCGCATTATTTAACTATCTCGAGCAGGAGCTTTGATAGATTTGAAACCAAATAAAAGACGAAAACCGACAAAAGAAAAACTAAAATTACAAATGTTTGTGAAAGTGGTGATCAATTTGTTTCACACATAAATGTACAACACAAATCGCTGTGATGTGTCTGCCGATGTGTGGTCTACTATAATTTGACGAAGACTATATACAATTCTCGTACGAAGTAAATTAAACAGAAAGGAGAGTCTTCTTAAACACATTTTAGTTTCCATTTGGTAGTTGTAATAGAATGCTTTTTTGAGAAGTTAATGTACCACCAGTTTTTAAATTAATTTTATAAAATCCAAGACCTGACCACGGACCTTCTTCTACGGTAGGTAAACCCATTCAACATCATGACATCTTATTCTCTATGGTCCATTTTAGTATTATCTTCCAATTTACATCCTAAGGAGGCCAAAACTCTAATTCGGGCTGTCGCGCCATGGAAGAAGAATCACATCTTGCTATTCAAAGCACTGTTTTTCTTTATGTTTGTTACTAAAATATGTTATGTGTTACTCAACTCCGTCGTGCGTCCTACATTTTTCATGTCATATACTTGGTTGTAAAACACTGTAACCGCTCATCAATCCCTCTACTGCTGTATGCGTGACGTGGGATCGGCGTATGTAGATCAACGATCACGCAGGTCCTAAATAAACAAAGAGTTCCACCCAATCAATCCGAGTGTTTAATCGTGCTGTTACGAACTGGCCGTTACACCAAATGAGACGGAGTCGACGCATACCGACTAGCTGAGCAGAGCAGAGAACCCAACAATCCCTACCAGCCACATCGTAGCGGACCCTGCGATCACCCAAGAAGGAGGAAGAACAGTTACAGTAATAATATTTTATTGAAGAATACAAATTATGAACCCTCTCATGGGGCAGTTTTCTATGTCATCTTGCTATTTCTTTCTGTCTTTATTCCATACATTCTTCACGGTACAGTGTTCTCATACACCTTCAATCCGTGGTCTTCCTTAGGGTGAAAGGTAAAGTTCCACTCCCACACAACCATGGCCACCTGAGATTTAACGGCACACCCGATTACCGCCGGAGGGCCTTGCTAGCATCACATTCAAAATCAGTAATCATGGAAATATTTTTATTGCTTTCTACCTTTATATAATCATCAAAACTCTCAATTCTATCGGTAGAGACTGATATTTTCTTTCTGGATAATAATTGTGTGTTTCATTTTTATGTTGTGACACAACTATCAAACTAATTTATTGTTGATCACTGGGGATAATAAACTACGGCTTTTAATTGCGTTAAATTTTGTTCGTGTTGTGTTTTCGCCACTTGTTTTATGTGTAATGTCAATAACAAATATTCAATAATTGTGAGTGAGGTCGTGCGATATCTGCGTCCGGTTATTACATAATTTTAACAAAGAACTTAAAGAATTGTGTTATTTAGTTCCAAAAATAAGGTGTGCAAAATTTATTCTACTTTCATTAGAATCTAATTTTTTAAAAAAATAGACTTCCTCCTTCAATTAACAACTTAAACGTTTCTTTTGAATGTGGATATGCCAAGTGCAAAAATACGAAAAATCTAGAGGAAATAATTAAAAATTATTAAAACTGACATTTTCAGTAAATCTGCTACTGATACAACTTCCACAAACACTAGTATTGCAAGATTAGTGTTCTCCATCTCTAAAGAAATGAAGGGAGGTCAATTTACGCAGAAAAACGTAGTGAGACTGTGGATAATACTTCAGGCACTTCAGTGAATGTAATTGAACATCAAAATGAAAATGCTGCAAGTTCAGATTCAGCTCAATGGCTTTCAAAAAATGAAAACTTACACTTCTGGGTTCAAACTTCCGTCTGTGTGTCAGCACAAGCAAAGTTGCTAGTTCATACACAGTTGAGAATACAAATACTGAAATAAGACTTTTAACGTGTTCCGTTCAGTGTGTACATTATTTTCGTTCATTGATTCTGAATTTCACAGAAGTGGATTTAATGATGAAGCATGAGTTTAAGACTGCTTCACACCATGAAAATGGCAGGAACATAAGAAATGCATAATGACTTGCTACAGTCGTCTTAAAATATCTGGACGTGTAGAAACATTATTGTAATTATATTTAACAATGATCGTCAATCCTGGAAGGACGTAATGAAAATAATCACAGCGGTAATTAATTTTTGGCGTTAAGGGCAAACTTTAGGATGGGCCAACTAAACATTTGTTTCAGTAAGTAACGGAAATTATTTGGGCATCATGGAACTGCTTCGTCAGGTTTTCTTTCAATTTTTGTGCAAACAAGTTAGAAAGGACGCAATGTTGCAAACCAAATCTCATCATACGAGTCTGTCACGATTTGTGAAACAGTTATACAATCAAGGAGCGAAAACTGTTGGCAGTTCATATTATCACTAAAACACAGAAAGCAAGTTATTTTTCAATTCGCGTGGATTATTCACTAAATGAAAAAAAATCCATTATTTAACATTTATCTTACGATATGTAAAGAATACTGTCTACATTTATTTAATATCCATACGCGTACGTATTGACAGGGAAACAATAAATTTTGGACTATACAGTCTGAATGGCTATAAATTTGAACAAAATGTACATTGAAACTTGTCGTTCGAAGTACCTTATTGTGTGTTTTATCTTTTACAGATATCTGCAAGCTGCTGCAAACCAGACTGTAAGTACAATAACTTTCTCATCGTTATATTATTGCAATAATAATTCTCTCAGTCACTTTCAAACTCATGAGAAGTTGAGCTGGTAAGACCGGAGACTCCCTTGCCTTTCTCTGGCTGATGATGACCCCTCAACATTCACTGGGTCAATGTCAACAACACAATAGCTCACAAATAAGAAACTTGTTTCAGTTGCAGACACAACAGCGCTACTGGAATAAAGACACTAACTAACTAACTAACTAGATGGCTTACCGAACCCGAAGGTTCATCACCGAATTAACCAAAGCCCTCCACCGGACCCTGTCCTGGGCCAACAAAATCCAGTTTCCTTCAACTCCTATCTCCCATAGATCCCACCTGAGATTATCCTCCCATCTATGTCTAGGTCTCCCCAGCGGTCTCTTCCCTTCCGGTTTCCCAACCAGTACCCGGTGCACACCTCTTGTCCCATCCATGTGGGCTACATGCCCAGCCCATCTCAATCTTCTCGACTTAATCACCCTGACAATACTGGGGGAGAAGTACAAATTTTTAAGCTCGTCATTATGCAGTTTTCTCCACGCCCCATCGTCTTCTCTCCTAGGCACAATATCCTCCTCAACACCCGATTCTCAAACACCTGCAATCTGTGTTCCTCCCTCTGAGTGAGAGACCATGTTTCGCACGGAATAAAGACACTACACCAGTAAATCATTGCAGCGTCCTCAAATTTTGTCACAAGGCATATATATATTGCAACGTATTTATAGAGAACAAATGTTTATAAATCACGATTCAGTGGAAAAATGGACAATCTTTCGGATTATTCGGAGTTTCCAAATGATTGGTTCACTATGCCGTTTTATCGATAGCTTTTCCCTAATGTTAGTCGGATGCTCTGTTCATGTTCTTGAATAAATTTCTTGACAGCATATTACACTCTTTGAAATGTTGAAAATATTGACGGTGCGTATTATTTGTTTTTTAGAATAGGATTCTGAGAGGAATATTCTGATCAAAGACAGACGAAAAATATGACAGAAAAAATTGCGTAATGGAGGATTTCATGATCTGCAAAATTTATTTATTATTTCAGGGCAATCAAATGGAGGAGAGTGAGAAGGTCGGGTCATGTAGCAAACATGGAAGAAGATTTCTGTCTTCAGGGCTGTTGCGCCGTGTAGTCTGGTCGATGTTAACCAACGTTTCAGAGGTCATACTGCCTCCGTCATCAGGGCGATGAACATGGAAGAGCTGATAAATACAATTTTTATTGGAATATTTGTTAAAAAGAGGCTACTTTGGAGAAATGTGTACCTGTTGAAGCACAATAGTAAAGAAAAACTTAAAAGGTAGAATTGGCCGATGTTCCGGAGGGCAGTCATCTTCATAATAGTCCTGACGATGGAGGCAGAGAAACCTGTGAAAAGTCGGTAAGTATTTATGTGACTACACCGCGCAAAATTCGTCCCTAAATTTTACGGTTATGTACGAGATGCAGAAAATTATGGTAACGTAGAATTTTTACGCTGATGTAATGTAAACAATGTTCAGATTTGTAGAGGAATATTACTCACGTAGTAATCCACAGACTTGGCGTAAGTTGGTGCGTATGCGAGATGTTCTGGTTTAAAGTAGGCCGAATCGTAGGCTACCAGTTCAGGTTTGGCGTGCAGTGAAGCATAATCGACGTGCTCTGGAAGTCCGCGAACTGCGGCCGCTAGAGTGCAGAACAATATCAACTGTGAAAAGAAAAGCGACAATAATATATCAGCATTGGACGGCTTCAAACTTCAGCTGTAGAAATCGCGTGATCTCAAACGAGTACTGAAGACGTCAGTGACAATTTATTGGGAATAGGTCTGGAAGCATCTGTCGTTATCACGGTGCAGAACCAGTTCAAGAATTCGCCTGAAATCACTTATGAAAATCACGGAAGTCCCTAGCAAAGAATCAAATCTAGTACCTGTCGAATTCATAACCACGTATACGTAACCATTATACAGATACAAACCGATGTTTGAAAGCAACTAAATAGGTATTGAGATTTTGGGTGATCGGTGTAACAACTACAGAATAAAAGCAGTCTGATGGTAAAGGCAGCCAGAACTTGATGAATCCTTACCGCTTTCTCCTCATCTATTATCCATCATTACGTCCGCATGCAGTAGCTCTATACTATAGAATTTTGTTTAATTTTATTTTATCGATTACTTATAATGTGTAATAGTATTAAAAATATATTAAAATTGGCCGTCAATCACAATATAAGATAATTAAAAGATTAAAATATCATTTTTCGTTCCGTATCGAGTACTCGATTTACATATGGAACATTTACGACATGTTTCGGCTATCATAGAGCCGTCATCAGGTGTTATGTTATAAACTTTTTAACTGAATTACTGATTTTTAATAATTTATATTCATAAAAAGTTTATAACATAACACCTGATGACGGCTCTATGATAGCCGAAACATGTCGTAAATGTTCCATATGTAAATCGAGTACTCGATACGGGACGAAAAATGATATTTTAATCTTTTAATTATCTTATATTGTGATTGACGGCCAATTTTAATATATTTTTAATACTATTAAATAAATCACAATATGACGCACCTACAATATCTTATAATGTGTACTTGATTGAAAACACCAAATTATTTTACATGGCAGCTTAAATATTTGTCTACCTACAATGTTATGTTTTGAGCTGTTACTATTCGCGAAACCTAAGAGAAGATTAGACGGTAATATTAAAATAAATGTTAACCCTTTAGTGGCCAGTGGTATGTACTACCTGATTTATCAATCAATAATTCCGATTTCTGTATGTTTGGATATCGTATAATTCTCAGCGTAAACAGGTATTATTTTCTTACATACATTTGACAAATAGTGGCAAAGATTTGCGTTTTATTTGAGTTATGGGTCTACTTCTTCAATATTATTTAGACAAATATAAGACTTGGGTACACATGTTAAGATATGAGAATATTAGAGTACATTTTAAAGACACATGATATTAATTTGTGAACTAAATTCACCAGAAAATGAATTTGGTCATTTAACGGATTCCTTCGAACACGGTATTAAAAGTTTGCATTCCGTAAAGGACGGAAGAATTCTTGACCAGATGGTCGATTATTAGTTTCTTAAGCAAGGTCCTGTTCCATAGAGATAGTTCTATATTACAAGGTGCATACACATGTCATATGTGGGCATTACTAAAAGTTGTTACGATGATGTTAACATTACGTCATTCTGAAAATGCGACCTGTAATGCCCCATTGTCCATCAACCACATAATATGTGAGTGATCATGAGCAGTCTTGGAATGATACTGACAAGGAAAAAGTGTAGATTTCGAGTAAAACCTGTCCCTGCACTACATTATCTTCCACAAATCTGACATGGATTACTTTGTAAGAGAACACGTGTCACTACGTCCTCGACTGTTTGTTTTAGCAAAGCAGAACTGGAAAACGAAGACATAACTATAGAATTTTATCTGGAAACATTAATGAGACTACTTTGGAGACCTATGTGTAGACAGGATATTATTAGACTGGGTATTAAAGAAATAGCATTAGAAAAATTGGACTGATTTCAATGTTCAGTCGCCCTGATGATATTTTCACATACAGTTTACTTTATAAAGATATTTTATAAATTTTATACTTTCAATGTCATTTGAAAGCATAAAGCTGCATATATTCTATTACATTTTAACACAAATAATGTTCTTTCCCGTTAACTTTGACGGGTCATACCACACTAGAAATAATATTAACAAATTAATCATATGCATATTTGTAACAATTTTGGAGACACGGAACCAACTTCGAAGTTAATATGTTTCAGGTAAGTTCCAATTAATTATTCACTGTAATAAGATCTAAAATCTTTTTACGAACAACTATTATAAATGAAACACATTTAAATCTCCATTTTCAACACGTATATCACTCACGAACTTGTTGCTTTATTCTCTAGGTAGTTCTCTGTGGAAATTACACAAAGCAGTTATAAACCAACACCAAATGATTAATACAAACAAATATAACGGTCTAATTAATGCAAACCTACAAGTCAAAATCATCCGGTCACTGTCCATCGTGACGTCACTGACTACTGAGACTACAGAAATAAGTCACGTCCAATATTATACGGAGATATTAAATTCGAAAGTTTTTCGATAGCACAGAATGTCTGCGTGGAATCTGCGAAATTTTATTGTCGTCATTTCTCTTCCACGTCCAGGTGGTCTAGCCCTGAGGTATTGCGAACAATTAATAAAATGTCCACTGGAAACTATAAGGAGAAATCTGAAAGAAAGAAAACCCAACTCATGTCTTCTTTCAACGTCTTCCTTGATATGAAATGCCTTATCGTATGAATAATTTTAAGGTCGAATATTTAATGAAGGCAAATACATCTTTAAGAGACAAATGTTAATGGTTAGTAGGTTATGTAAATATATTTTAATTTGCATAATTTATACAGCACATTAGCCTCATTTATGCATACATTCATTAGAAATTTGAACGTTAAAAACTCGGAATGCTTAGATTATAGGGATGGATAACATTTCAAGCAACTAATGCAATCTGGCTAGCTTTACTCTATGATGTATGACAATAATTAGTTCTAAAATATATTTTTGGTAAAATTGAAATTATTTTATTAAGTATTATAACATACATATTTTCAAGGACTTTCTCAATTTGATGTGAGTCTCAATTTAAGTAATCAAACCTCAAAATTACGAACAACGTACGTAAAAAACTAAACTACTGCCTATTATTTAAACAATTCAATCATAGAAACGACAGTTGTCTAAGATTATCCTTTCTTGAGGGCTGTCTGAAATTCAATCCAATACAAACTACTGACAAGAACCACTATAGTCCTTGAAAGTGCACAGAAATTTTCTTCACAATTGTTGCATTTTTCAACGTCCTTATTCTCCTCGTACTTAAATGTGGTTGTCCACTATATTTTAAAAAAATTATGCTTGTGCAGCATAATTAACGTGCTGTATGCGTATTCTCTTTGGAACCAGGGTAACAAATTTTCATAAAATCTGGGACGAACGTTCTGCCATTTGACGTCTCCCCAGTGTGGTAAATTTTAATTTTATACAGTAGGTTAAAACAAATCATGGTGGATGCACATGATTTGTAAAGTCTGAAAATTAAATTTTTCAAGCAAAATAACCTTTATAACCAGGTCTGTCATTAATAATTCAGGATTTACAAATAACCTGTGAACGTACTCCCTTATAAATACAGTGTCCAGCCTTTTTCTTTCGTAAATATATAATGGCAAGAATCTTACAACCAAGAGAACTGGAGAAGCTACTAGTTGATTAGATGGCATATAATTTCTTCAGACACGCCATCAACCCCAATTCTCAGTCACATTAATTATGTCCAAATCCTCACGTCATTTCACAGCACAACTTGTATGTTTTTGAAGTGATTTCTATTCAGCCTACTACTATGAAATTGTATATTGCATCTCTCATGTGTTTAAATGCCTTGCCTATACCATCTGCAAAGATTTAATGATTATTGATATGTAATGACAAAAAATGCTTTTATGTGAATTTTTCTCCATCCTGTTATTTCTTCCCTTCTGGGTCCATCTCTTTTCCTCAAGACTTTGTTCTGAAATATCCTGTATCTTTGATCTTCCCTTAATGTGATAGGTCAACTTTTACACACACAGAAACATACTAAATTATAGTTTTATATTTCGAACTCTTTACGACTTTAGATATAGGACCGTAAGAAAGACGAGGCTTTTATGTATTGCAATACGCAGTATTTTAAATTACTGATACAGTTGTTTATAAGGAAACAAGAAACTACACGATTCAATCCGTCCGTTTAATGTAGCCTTTATGTATTACTACGCTTAATAACGCAGTGTGTGAACTGTTTCTTATTCACGTTTAATATTTACAAAAATTTGCGTAACATCGGGCACTTTGAAAAACAATAAACTGCACATCTGTCACCTCGTATGTGAATGAATCAGGCTCACTTTTAAAACGACGTGGCCTCGTTTGACACAGATGCTCGCAGCATCACCTGGACCGGTTTAGGTTGCTCTACCCGCCTCTCAGAATGTGTGTCACGAAAATTATTCGGTCCAAATCTCTTCAAGTAATGTGACAATGGTCCTTTCATTGATATTTACGTGTACATTACACTTTCTCTTCACAGGCATTTCTGATATCCGATTCCTATCTGTTTAGTAGAGGAAGATAGCTAGTCAAACTCTCAAATAACATTACAGGAAATTTATCATTTTATCGGTTCAGCCAGTTTCTTATTTGTTTTGCGTTTTATACCGGATATTTCAGTTTCTCACTGTGGGGACTATGAAGATGACTTGTTTAAGGATGTTACGCCATGTAGTCTGGTAGATACTGAGCGAAGTTTTAAGCGACGTTCTATCAGATTACGAGAACCAACCTCACAGAAAACAGTAATCGTCAGTTTTTAAGTGTTTTACATTCAGACTAAGAGCACATAACGGAAGGAGTGAGGGATAATCCCCGCTAAATTTTCTTTTATCCATAACCATGCTTATGCCTTATTTGTGAGTTATGTTACAGTAGAAGCTCGAATGTTGGTGAAACCTAAGATTTACCACACAAACCTAGGTTTTAACAAACAGCTTTGGTAAAAGTCAGAAAAATAACTATTCGCATCTTATTTCGGGGTT